AGACATCAGAATAATATGCTATTTAAAATTTGAAGAAGGTCCTAAAATATTTCTGAATGTTTGTGAATAGTCAATGTGAGTATTGATTCTCATTATATTTTAGCAAATTATTTTTAATTGATAATAATTCACTGATATATTTTGGAGGTTGCTTTATTGAATAAATATCCTATATATTTTTGAATCTTATTATAAAAGTAAAGTGAAAGATTATAAAACCATCTCCAGAAGAACCCAATATACTACACCAATCTTAGTTTTTTAAAAAAACATTTTCAAGAGGTGTTTCTTCTAGAAAAATAATAGTTACAAAAGTAATATTTAAAAAACCCCTGCTTTCTCATAAACATATAATAGCAATGAGTGAGATAAAAATAATTGAATAGATTTTGATTAAACAAGGTTTATTGGAATAAGGTATTGCTCTCTGTACCTATAGTGGAATGCCTTTTAATCTGAGATATTTTGAAAACATTGAGGCGTGAATATCTCTAAATTCTTCACATCCTTGTTACTTTTCACCACTATATATACACTGAGCTTTCCCTGAAAATTCTTTCACTCTTTCAAAGAAAAAAATTGCACCAATCAAAATTAAAAAGATCAGGAAGACTTTGTTTAAGGCTATTGTAAAAGAAGGAGAGACCACAATGTCTTTTGAACACTGAAACAAAGGCCTGGAGGGATTTTGGGAGTTGGCATAGAGGGGATCTTAAGCCATCTGTGTTTGATAATTGGCCTGACTTAAAGACAAAGTAAATTTTCTTGGATTTTCATGCCAGTAGGTCATTTTACAACTTGGAGGAAAACACCTACTATAGCTAGACTCCTACTCTCTCACAGAGACTGGGAAGTAGAGGTGTTATTTTTCTAGATGATTATATTTCAAAAGAATGGCTTCCAGGTCTTTGAGAAAGCAACGCTGGGTTGTAAAACTGACAGAAGGCTTTTAGAAGGATTTATGTCTCAGAAGGTCAGAGAAAGAAGTTACCAGTCTTCTAAAGTACATTTTCTAAGAAATCACAGGTCAGGGGCTTCATGGGGAAGAAGCCTGTCTAAAGTTAAGTCAAGCTGAGGGGAGCATTATGACTCTTTTGATCAACTCCTGTACACGTCTCAAGTCTCTCTTTTTCTAACCTTTCATTGATACCATCCAGTTCTGTCCTTTTACTTTCCCTGCCCCTCCCCAACACTCTTCCATATGTTGTTAGTATATTGATCTACTACATCCATGTCTCTAACTGAAGATTCAGCTTTCCTTGCAACCTTCTTAAATGGAGGCTCTTTCTCCTCAAATCACAAATACCTTGGGATGTAGAAGTCATAGCCTATGATGGCTTTAATCCTTCCTTCAATTCTTACATAAAATACAAATGTTGCTCAATATCCATTGGAGATTGATCTCATGCCTCTCCCCAAGTTCCATGGAGGCACTAGGCCCTTATATAAAATGGTATAATATTTGCATATAATTTATACACACAGTATTGTGTACTTTAGATTACTTATAAGACCTAATACAATGTAAATAGTTGTTGTACCATATTGTTTAGGGAGTAATGACATATGAAATGTCTTTACATGTTTAGTACAAACACGTTTTACTGAATGTCTTTGATTCATAGTTGACAGAATCCATAGAAATAGAGCTCACGGGTATGGAGGCCCCACTCTTCTACTTATTGAAGCTCATCATTTCAAACTTTGGCAATGTCTATCTCTTCTTGTCCCTCTACTTGATCAATCTCCTGAATACTTCTGCGTATTTACTGAAATCATTGTCTTCACACTGAGGAGTCACTGTCTATCCCTTTTCTTGGGTTGCCTTTGGTCATCTCTATGATTAATCTCAACATTTCTTTGAATTATTCAAATTTAGTGACTTGTACTTGGATTCCACTCCAAGTATATCCTTAACTTTATTGTAAGCAAATAGTACTTTGGCATTTTCTTCTTAAATTATAGCCTTGCCTTCCCACTTGGTTTTATCTTTTTGATATTTTTTCTCCTTTGCTTCTACTATATCTGTTCATTGAACTTTGGACTCTAGTCAATCCTATTTTCTTCCTACATCTCAGCTTATACTTGTCATCACTCTCTCATGTATGACTTTGCACTTAACATCCAGTTCTGCGTGTCTGTGTGTGTTGCTGGGGGTTGAACTCAGGGCCTTGTACATGTTAGGCAAATACTCTACCACTGAGCCATATCCTTAACTCAACATACAGATTTATTTATTTATTTATGTATTTATTTTTTGTTCGTTTATTCACATGTGCATACATTGTTTGGGTCATTTCTCCATTCTGCCCCCCTCTCCTACCCTTCCCCACTCTCCCTCAGTTCCAGGCAGGTCCCGTTCTGCCCTTATCACTGATTTTGTTGAAGAAAAGACATAAGCATAATAAGGAAGACAAAGCATTTTTGCTAGTTGAGTTAAGGATAGCTATACAGAGAGATTCCTACTACTGCTTTCGTGTACACATGTTACGACCCATGTTGATTCAACTCTAACTGATCTTTACATTGGTTCCGATCCCCTGCTCATGATAACCTGCCATTTTAAGGTTTCAGTATTAGCTCCTCTGGAGTGGGGACATCAAACGCTTTCATGTTTTGGGTTTTCTACCTATTCCTATATCTCCTGTATGTGCTCTCCCCTTGTCTTGTGATCCACATTGCTGCATTTGCCCTAGACCTAAAGTCCGCATATGAGGGAGAACATACTATTTTTGGTCTTCTGAGCCTGGCTGACCTCACTCAGAATGATGTTCTCCAGTTCCATCCATTTACCTGGAAATGATAAGATTTCATTTTTCTTCATGGCTGAGTAAAATTCCATTGTGTACAAGTACCAACATACAGATTTTTTATGCTTTTCTGCTCCATTACCTTCAAAAACTGCATCATTCCAACTCTCACTATTCTATGAATTTGTGAACAAGTTTTCTGAACACAGTAGGAAAAAGTTGAATAACTGAACTGATTGATGGGTTTAGACCTATACCCAACTACGTAGGTCTTGGTGGTCCTTTTAACTGTATTCTGATCTTTCTATTATTCCCTACAGTAGGTATTTTTAATTACTCCAGAACATTACTTTTGTCATAACTCTTCTTAATTTTTTGATTAAAACAAAAATACTGTCTATTGTGAGACATTTGGAACTACAGAATACAAAAGATGGTGAAATCACTTATGCATCCACTAACACACAGCCCATATCATTCTAAATTCTTTCTCCAAGCATTTTATCTGAATACAGAAATGCATCATGTGTAATATGTTATATTTATTTTATGAACTAGGCACAAACTTAATATTTTGCATCTGCTTATATCATGAGTGTCATCTGTCATTACATATTTCAATTAATGTAATTCTTAAAAATTACATATTATTTCAAAGTAATGAAATACTATTTGTCATTTCCTTAGCATTAAAATAGGTGACATCTAATTATTGTTTAGTGTGATAATAAACATTCTTTCCCATATATTTGTGCTGAGGCTTTTTGAAGAGCTGTCCACATGTAGTTTTTTTCTGTTCCTTCCTTATTTGCCACCTGGATTCAACCTAAACATTCCAGTGAAAATGTTTTAGGTAAATTCACCAATAGCATCCATTTTGACAAATGCATTGGATAATTTTCAGTCTCCTGATTAGATCTGTCAGCACCATTTGATACAAATAATCACTCTTTCTTGAAATATTCTTTTGTTAGTGCCACTAACAATACACATTCTGGTTTTCTTGTATTTCTGGCTTTAGCCATATTTTGTCAGATTCTTTCCCTCTGTCTGACATTTAAATGCTTGATAACTGAATGGGCTCAATCATAGACCTATTTTGTTATTTCTCTAGACTTTCTTCCTGGGTGATCATATCCAGTTAGTGGTTTTAAATACCATCTATATGTCAATGTTTTTCAAAACTTTATCCCTGGTCCTGCTACTCTTATGAAATCTGGACCTGTATATTCATTGATCTACTTATTATCTCTACCTTTACTTAGCATCTCAAAATTAACGTGTCCAAATTTAAACCCTGAATTTTACCCTCACCAGCTACTCCTCTTTCTTTTTTTCCATCTTGGCAAAAACCATTTTCATCTTATTTATTTAATATATTCTTATTTTTAATTGACACATAGTAATTATACATACTTATGGATTAAAATGTGTCATTTCAATACAGGTATACAGTGTGTAATGATCAGATCAGGGCAATTGATCTGTCACCACATACATTTATCATTTCTTTGTGTTGGGAATATTCAAAATCTCCTCTATTAGCTATTTTGAAATAATTAAATGTTGTCAACCACAGTTATCTTACTGTGATATAGAACAATAGATGTTATTCACCTTACTGAGCTTTCTGCTGTTCCATTAAACATCTTCTTTCAAGTCATATAAACAAACATTTATAGAATATCCCTACACATCACCAGTTGTTTTCTCCAGCAATTGAAAATACGCTACAGCACTCTGAGTTCTGGGTTATAACTGCTTTTTCTAGCAGGATAAAAAGAATTGAATTAAAAGTTCAAAACACCAACTTCAACAATTAGAAAGTGGCATTACTGGATTATACTTGATGTTCCTTTGGCAAATACTTCTTTTAACTTGATTTGTTTTAAAAAGTGATGTCTCACTTGAGCCATTGCCCATAGATATACAGCAAGTTAAAAAGTGCTGGGAATGTAACTTATGGAATTTTGTAGGGAGAAGTGGCTGTGATGTCATAGACCCTTGAGAGAAACTTCTAAAAGTGAGATTTAATTGAAACAGAGACTAAACAAGAAAGATGATAAATTAGTAAGGTGGGATCCAACAAGAATGTAGTACAGAATGTAATAACTTATGAATTACTTTTTAAGGTGCTCCATAGGACAACTCTTAATGAAGGAAGGCAAAGGCTCAAACATCTGGTACATTTATGATTCTTGATATTAATTACTTGAAGATTAATAAATTTGAAAATCACCAGTCTTAGAAATGGAAGAAAGTGATGAACTTGATCAGCCTATCTCAGCAGGGAGGCAGGAAGTTCGAAAGAGAAGACGGCCCAGCCAACCAATGATAGACAAATCCCAGCAGACTGAAGTGACAGAAAAAAAGACACACACGGTTATCCCACAAACATCTGGCCCCAAAGCTACTCTCAGTATTGGTAATATTCCTGGAAGCAAAGGAAGTTACTCTGCCAAAGAATATGAATCTTTTAGAGTATCTTCTCAACTTCAGCAAACTTGGATGAAGAGAAAGCGTGGACAGGATATGAACGACAAATCTCTGCAGACAGACACTGTTGTAGAAGAAAAAACGAAGGGAAGTTCGTTGGTGAAACACTGTCATCTGAAGAAAAGCCAACTGGTGTTGGAGAAGCAGCCCGTGAATTGCAAGAGAGAGTTCAGGAAGTAGAAATGCCACCAAGTAGACAATTAATAGACAGATCTCAGCAGACTAGTTGTACTGGAGACTGGATGATGATGTACATTCCCCCCAAAGAAAAAATGGACAAGGAACAGCAGACATACTTCAGTGAATCGGAACTATTTTTTTCCAGGCCAAGTAGTTCTTTTACAAAGTCAAAAGAAGGTGCTCAGAAACGTAAATCCTCAGGAAAGATTTTTGTTAGTGAATATCCTGAATTTCAACCAGCAACAAGTAGCCATGAAGAAATTAGGCAGAAAAGTAATCAGGAAGATACTCCAGTACTTTTAGAAGATGGTTCCAGGCAAGAGGTACCTGTTGTAGAAGATGGTGCTGCCAGAAAAAGGGCTTCTGTTGAAATACAGCCCCTATCAACAGAAAAAGTCCTTGCTGAAATTCAACCTCTGCCATCTAAAGAGACCACAGAGAAAGCAAAGGCCAGCCTTGCTGAGGAGACCACTGTCCAAGTACAGCCTCCAGCTGAAGAGACCCCTGCAGCTGAGGGAGCCACTGCAACTGCTGAGGCCTCTGTTGAAGAACAGCTTTCACCCGCTGAAGAGCCTTCTTCAGTTGAGTTTTCTATTGACAGTCATCCCCTGCCAGCAGAAGAGGCTGTTTCAGAAGAGCCTCCTGTAGTAGAAGTGGTTCCTCCAGAAGAACTTTCTGCAGAAATTCTGTTCCCATTAGAGGAAGCAGTGGTCATTGAAGTACAGGCTCCATCAGTTGAGAATGTCATGGACGAAGCCCCAGATGAAATACAGCCTACCATTGCTGACGAGACCTCTGCTGACATTCAGCCTTCAGCAGTTGAAGTTTCCATAGAAGAGGTCTCAGCTGAAGATCAATCTCCATTATTTGAGAAGGTTCCTATAGAAGAGGCACCTGCAGAAGTCCAGCCTCCAGTATCTGAAGTTCCTGTAGAAGAGGCACCTGCTGAAGGTCAGTCACCACCAGCTGAGGAGCCTCCTACAGAAGAGGCCCCTTCTGAAATTCAATCTCCACCGGCTGAGGAGCCTCCTACAGAAGAGGCCCCTGCTGAAGGTCAGTCTCCATCATCTGATGAGCCACCTGCAGAGACCTCTGATGGAGCTCAGCCCCCACTCGTTGAGGCTCCTGAAGAAGAAGCCCCTGTGGAGAAACACCCTTCACCAATTGATGTAGTTCTTATTGAAGAGATTCCTATGGAAGAGATGCCTGCTGAAGTTCTGCCTCCACCCTCAGGACAAACCCCTGCAGAAGAGGCTCCAATAGATGTTGAATCTGCTAAGATACAATCTCCCCAGGTAGCTGGTGCCTCGGGGAAAAAAGTAGGGTCAGTTGTTTTGACAGGTGATTTAAAATTTGAAGGGACAGTTCCTGTTCCTGAAGATATGTCTAACGCTGAGGACAGGCAAGACCCCACTATTGAAATAGAAGGTATCATTCAAATACAAGTAAAGGACACCTCCTCTGGAGCTGCAGTCAGCTAGCAATCAAAAGCTGGAGGTTCTAGAAGTACATTCTTTAGAAAAGGGATGGCATCTCAAAGAATTTTCATGAAAATGATAAAGGGAATATCAAGACTGGGAATGCAGGTTTGAAAATAAACAATAAAAATGGTAGCCATTTTAAATAACTTGGGTTATTTTCATTCAAACATACAGCATGCAAAGTATTTTAAAATGAAGTAAGTTTATGACTGAAATCCTTATTTAAAATATCCTTTCTGAAGTAAACCCTGTTGACAAGGCTAATCTATTCTGATGCCATAGTTTGTCTTCTCTTTATAAACACATGTAGCTTCTTGTGGAAATGTCACTTTCTTTTCTGCAGGTGTCATCTGCTTTAAATTCTTTGGATTTTATTCACATATCCAAACTTACATGGTATTTTTTTTCTTGTGCTACAATTCATCATGTCTCCCTGGATATTTTACACTTCAGTGTCTGGACAAGGAAACTTAAATTGTTCATTTCAATGAAAGTATTTTTGAAGTATGTAAATATAAAGAAAAATATACTTAGATGCCCTTGTGGATGGACACATTCCTGTTTAGTTTTAATTTCATTTCAACTGGGAATGTGATGGGTCCTTTGGAAGTTTGTCTTAATGCTTCTTGCATTTTGAAATTGTGATGAAAGAAACATAATACAATTGACTTCTTGTAGTATAAGTTCTTAAAGTTCTTAAAGATAATCAAAACTGAACAATATTGGAAAATCTAAATATTGGGAAAATAGTAAGGCTATAGTCTTAATGTGCTGAAATGTTGAGATAATGTGCTTAAAACTTTCTAAATTTTCAGTGTATTTTCTGTTTAGTGAACACTTTATATTGAGGATTCTAAACTTTATGAAGATTTATGTCCTATATATTGTACTTTTGTCACATTCTTAGCTATCTCAATAACCAAGAATATATTATATTTTAAGTAAATTCTTGATAATTGTGTAAAATTACTGTATACACAATCATTCTTACATGTTACAGATTTGAGGTCAAGAAACGGTAAGAATGAGGGCTGCATTTTGGACAACTCCAAGTCCTTTGATTTTATGTTTTCTGAGATTTAAATCCAATTGTTTTTTTTTTCTAAATTAGAAGGTTTTTTTTTTTTTTTTTGATGGTACTAGGGTTTGAACTCAGGGGCTTGTGCTTTCTAGGCAGGTGTTCTACCACTTTAGCCACTCTGCCAGCCCTTATTTTGTGTTGGGTGTTTTTAAAAAAATTATTATTATTAATTTATTCACATGTGCATACATTGTTTGGGTCATTTCTCCTCCCTATCCCCCTCCTCCTTCCTCTCCTCCCCACTCCCCATTCCTCACTCCCCCACCCCCCGGTGGCTTCCAGGCAGAATCTGTTCTGCCCTTATCTCTAATTTTGTTGAAGAGAAAACATGAGCAATAAAAAGGAAGACAAAGCATTGTACGGAGAGATTCCTAGTATTGCTTCCATGTACAAATGTGTTACAACCCAAGTTGATTCATCTCTAACTGACCTTTACACTGGTTCCTGATCCCCTTCTTGTGTTGACCTCTGTCGCTTTAAGGTTTCTGTATTACTTCCTCTGTAGTGGGGACATCAAATACTTTCATGTTTTGGATTTCTTAGCTATTCCCCTACCTCCCGTGTGTGCTTTTCCCTTATCATGTGACCCAAGTCCAACCATGTTGGGTGTTTTTGAGATGGGTCTCATGAACCATTCCTCTGAGCTGGCTTTAAACTCCAAGCCTCCTGATCTCTGCCTTTCTAGTAGCTCACATTATAGGCACAAGCCACTGGCACCCAGCAATTAGAAATATTTTTATTTTGTTTTCTATTTCAGATTTTGTATTGTTATGTTTTTAAATTTAGAAGCCATATGAGAATTCAGAAGCATATTAGAAAGAGAGTATGTTTGATAAAATGGAATTTTTCAACTGGCATTCGAGAGTTTTTGCACTTAAAAGTTGAATATTACCTGGAGCCAAGGTGGAGCTCATGGTATACTTGGGTACAGATACTATATAAATAAATACGAACCAAGTCAATTTGGGGATTCTGGAGGCCAAATTAAAAGTGCTGAAAATGTAAGTTACAGAAGGAGTAGTTGTAATTTAGAGCAGGAAACATTGATTTGAAGTTTTAATTTTAATTATTTTTATTTTTATGTTTTGCTGAGGGTAGTAGAGCCAGGGTGTCTTACATTCTTAGGCAAGTGCTCTATCATTGGCCCACATTGAGGTTTTCAGAAGCAGGTATAAGAAAGTCGCCTTAATATCTAAAAAATAGAGTAATAAGGAGAGATATTGATTTCTAAAATCAGGTATTGGAAAAAAAATTCAAAGTGAATAGAAACATAAATGAGGTCACTACTAAATGTGAAAAAGACACCAGCCTGCAAACAATTAAAACTTTAAAAAACATGAGATTATAAGAAAACTTACTGAGGTATAACCTACATATTAAAATTGGATTTATTTAAGGTGTGCAATTTGATGAATTTTGACATTGCTATACACTTGAAAAACCACCATAATCAAAATAGTGAACGCAACCATCACTTAAAAGCTCTGTGATCATTTGCAACTTCTCTTCCTCTGTGCCTAACTCCTTACTACACACATACGCTCCTGGAAAATTGCTGATCTATTTTCTGTCACCGTGTCTTGTATTTTTCTGGACTCTTGTGTTAATAGAATGTATAGTGTACATACATATGATTTTGGTCCGGCTTGTTTAATGCATATGATTATTTTGAGATTCATTTTGTATGTTTCAATATTTTGTTCCTTTTGACTGACATATTATTTTGAACACTTAAAAGATTCAGTTTTTGGACATTTGAGGTGTTTATAGTTGGGGCTATCATAAATAAAGCTACTGTGAACATTCATGTATGAGTCTTTCTGTGAACATATGCTTTCATTAGTTTTTGCAGAAATATCTCAGAAAGGAATTAGTTTGTGTGGTAGAAGAATGTGTAACTTAAAAAAATGCTCAATGATTTTATAGAGTTATGTTTCATTTTTCATTCTGGCTTATAGCTGTTGGAGTTGAAGTGGTTCCATGTCCTTGTCAGTACTTTGTATCATTAATCTTCTTCATTTCAGTCACTCTAATGGGAGTACAGTGACATCTTTTTGAGGCATATTTTCATACACATATTTTTGGTGAAACACATTCTTTTTCTTCTTTGTGTAATATTTAAGGGATTTTTGTCAAATGAGATTCACTAAGATTTCCTCCTTATTAATTTCATTTTTAGCTCTCATAATTTTTAAAATAGACTACTGCTATGCTTCTAGAAATTTAATTTGTTCTGTATCTTTTATTTAGATATAGGATCTGTTGTGGGTAAATTTTTCATGTTGCATGAGGCTAATTTTCAAAAGACATGGGGAGCCTGTTGTTCCAGCACCATTTGTTTTAATGATTATCTTGTCTTCATTTGAACTTGTTGAAAATTAATTGACCACATATGTAAAGAGGTGTTCTATTTTGTTCTACTAATCTATGTCTATCTTTATATCAATTCAACATTGTTTTTATAACAGTAGATATTATGGTTTGAATATTACATATCCTTCACAAGCTTATGTGTTAAATGCTTAGTCCCTAGCTGATGGTGCTATATTGGGAGGTTCTGGAAACTTTAGAAGCTGGACACTAATGGAGGAGTTAGGTCTCTGGAGGTGCATCTAAGGGAATATCTAGTCTCTGGCCCCCTCCTGTTTTGCCCTCTGCTTTCCGTCTTCTCTGAGGTGAACAGCATCCCTCCACCACATGCTCCCATTACCATGAAATTCTGTTCAAGTGCGTGGGGTCAAGGCCAAGTTATGAAGAGTTGAACCTTCTGAAACTGTGAGCAAAATAAATAAATCTTTTCTTTTTTAAGTTGTTTCTATCAGGTATTTGGTTGCAGCAACAAAAAGCCTAATACAGTAGCTTTGTAATAAATCTTGAAATTAGATAGGTTTTTCCCAATACTTTGCTTCCTTAAAAATTTGTTTTAACAAGTTTAGGTCTTTTGTACTTCCAGGCAATTTTTTAATCAGTTCATTATTTTTTATAAAAATTTCTGCTAAGATTCATTGAATCTAATGATCAACTTAGGATGAAATGATATACTAATGATAATGAACTTTCTGATCCCCAAACACACACACACATACACACACACACACACACACACACACACACACACACACACACAAAATTGATATAATTTAGGCTTTCTTTAGTTTCTCTTAAGAGCAATAATTTGTAGTTTTATCAAATTTATCCCTAAGTATTTCATTCTTTGATAGTACTTTTCTCATTTTAGCTTCCATTTTTTGTTGCTATTATGCAGAAATACAATTGACTTTTTGTTTTGGCCTTGAGTGCTGATATTTTGCTAATCTAATTTAGTAGTTCTGGCAATCTTTTTGTAAGTTACTCAGAATTTTCTGCATAGAAAACCATGTAATCTGCAAATATAGTTTTAATTTTTGCTACCTTATCTAAATGCTTTCAATTCATTTATTTTGTCTTATTGCACTGGTTAGAACCTCCAGTACAATTGGAGAGGACAAACATCTGTGCCTTATTCCTGTTTTTAGGAGGAAAGCATTTAACTTTTCACCATTAAATATGTTTGCTATAGGTCTCTCCTTCATGACCTATATCTGGTGATAAAGTTCCCTTCTGTTTCTAGTTAGATGAAAGTTTTTTCATTATAAATGAATCTTGAATGTATCAAATGCTCTCTATAGATGTATTGGTTATATGCTTTTTATTTTTGGTTTATTAATGTGATGAGTTTTATTTGTTTTTCAAATGCTAAGCCAACCTTTCATAACCTGGATAATTCTTGTTTGGTCATGGATATTCTTTTTGTATATTTTTTGGATTTAATGCAATAACTTAAAAAAATTAATTGACTCATAAAATTATATATTTTTATGGGTTACTATGTGATCTTTTGATACATGTATATCTTATAAAATGTTCAAATCAGGGTAAA